GCCCAGTAGGCACAGGGTCTAGGGCCCATAATACTTTTAGGGACCATTAAGATATTTTAATTTTAATTTCTCTTAAAGTCAGAAAAATAACATGAATATAATAATAAATATATAATCATGAATCCAGTCCTTATACCAATGCAGTCATAAAATATAGTTTTAAATATTTTTTAAAATATTTAGAAAAATGGAAGAAGGGGCACCCAAAGACAAAAGTGTCTACGGCTGACAAATGTCATAATGTGGCCCTTGCTGTGTGTGAGTGAAACATAACCCCCAATGAGCTTGGAGGTGGGCCTGCTCCATGGCTGGAGTTCAGCTGGAAAGGACCTAAGAGCTTACTTAGAGAGCTAGTATGTTAAAAAAAAAAGAGGCAGCCTGGGGCAACTTGTTTCAGAAGAAGTTTGGGCAACCAGACTGCTGGAAAAGAATTAAAAAGCAAATCAGAAACTGCATAAGCAGGAATAAGATGGAGGGGTAGCCAGAGTATTTTCTAATTTGGATAAGAACCCGGGCTGGGAGGAATTAAGGCATAAACGAATAAACAAACTACAGCTACATTCAGCAACGTGGATGAACCTCACAAGCATACTTTTCAGTGAAAGGAGCCAGACACAAAAGAATGTGAAGCATATGGTTCCGTTGAAACATTGAAATAAAATTCAAAACTCAACATCTCTATTTGTCAGTTACTCATCCAAAATGGGGATAATAATAGGATCTACCTTCTGAGGTTGTTTTGAAGGGTAAATGAGAAAATATGTTAACCCATGTAATGTTAGGTGGTACAAGTCCTGTTAATAATACTAATGATAATAATAATAATAAACCATGAAGAGAATTGTGCTGAATTCAGAATAGCCCCTCTCCTCATCTGATAAGGAAGACTTCTTTTCATTTGTTTTAAGCTGAGTAAGACTTGTGCCTGGATAATTCTTCCCAAGACATAAATTCTGAACCATAAATTCTCATCATGGAAATAAAACTTTTTTTAATAAGTGAAATTAAAATTAATTTCTGAAGGCATGAAGAAAAAAATGAGTTGGGATCAACTGCTTCTGGCAGATCTTATCCACTTTTCTGAAAATTTTCTGTGTTACACTTCCAGCTTACACTGGCTTTCTCCTTTGTTTCACTCTGACTTCTATTTGTTTCAGGATTAAAATCCACCACATTTAGGATTTCTTCTTTCCAGCTCTCAGCTGGGTTTAGGGGAGACTCGCTAAATGTCACAGTGT